TAGTTCACCTAGAGAGATCTTTAATTCTAGGAACCTGACTACCCTTATAACAGGAATTCTAACCAACATCAATCCCCTCTCCATTTTATTTTGACACACCTGGTCTATCAACATCTCCTTCTCACTGGATTTTCAGACTCTAGTAATATAAAATTAATAATTAATATGGACACCAGAGCCCATTTGTTTCTATGTTCACTGCTTCAGCTCTGTCATCTGCTGATCATCTCACTAGCATGACTGCCTTCTGGGTCACTAGCAATTGTTTTCTGAGTCATAACTCCCAGACATCTGATCATTGCCATCAAGGCTAGGAAAGTCCCATCTGCTCTCACTGCCTGTCACAGAATCAACCTCCTCTGGTGCTGCTAAGGGTGTCACTGGAGCCAATTCCACCTCTGTTATTGATATTATCTCTCTCTTTTGATAACAACTTAACACCAGACTCTGCCAAGAACCACTCCTTGATCCATCACAACTACTTTATAGCCTACTAGTGTGATCCCAAAATATCCCCACTGTTTAAATCATTCCTGTAAATAAGTTCTTATAACATATACAGTAGGTATTAGATCTTATATAAGGTAAGCAATTGCAGGAATGAATGCATATCTAGATACACATTGTCATAACATTTCTTATGTATTTCTGCTGCAGGTCCTTTGAGGACAGAGAGTAGAGAACGCTTATACTCCTGAGGTCACAGGGATTAGCAGCTAAAAGTGTGCAGGACTACTTTTCAATTTTTAAAAAAGTATTTTATTTTAAATGTTCACACTAAACTTGTTCTACTTTACAGCATGCTATTTCTTCTAATACAAAAAATACTATTTAAATTTACTTTTAGGTTAAATTACCTAAGTGGCCTCTCAAATTTCTGAATAACTGCAAAGCTTCTAGAAAATAGACCATGTTGCTCAAACATCTCCTTGTGCCTCCTGGTGTAACAGCCTATGTCCCCATGGGAATGTGTATGCCATAGAATCAATACCCTGAATGTGAAAAATTTGGTATAACTGGAATTGGTGCACACTTGGGTTTTATCTGCAGTATATATCAATTTAGTACTTACATTTCTTTTGTAGATAAGCCGCGTAAGTCTAGAGACAACATTAATTTGGGCTGATTATAAGATAGCCAAGCATTAGGCAAAAAGTCACATAAATACAGATAAGACATAGATCTGGGTCTCTTAAAGGGAAATTAATAGGTATTGAGGGCTTAACTCCCAATTAAGCATTGAGCTTGGGACTTGATACACATGATCTCATGTATGCCAACACCAAAGCATGGCATGCTATGCCCCACATCCTAGATGACGGAACAACAGTTTAAGATGAAAGGAAAATCGGTCAAGATCATATATATCCATAATGTGGGAACAGGGCAAACCTGTGTCTGCTGGATTCTAAAGTTTGTGCACTTTCTAAAATGATAGTGCATAGAATCCGACACAGGAACTAAGACAACAAAAAATATGTACAGGACCACACAGCTAAGAGCGGTGTGACAAGTTTAGAAGCAGAGATGTTTGCTGCTGGTTAGTGAGATCTCAGAAGGCTTCACGGACTAATGGAATTAGATCCGGGCCACAGAGGAGAGGGCAGGAATGCAACAGCTTAGGAGTCGGGCCTTCCAAACAGAAACACCAAAACCAAGGATCCCTGGAGAGTCTTAAAGTTTAAGATGAGCAAGGCTGGAATTGATCTATAAATGGAATAACACTGGGTGAAAAGGAAGGCAAAAAAAAAAAGAGCTTAACTGTGGGGTGTCTTTCATGCCAGGAAAATTAGAGTTTCAGGGGTTAGAGACTGCAAGTGCTGTTGACAGCCACTAAGGAAATGATGAATTTGAAAGGGGAATGAACAGGCCATTTTGAGGTGCGAGCAGGGTGAGCCTGAAAAACCTAGGTGTGGCTGCAGGAGTGCGTGAAAGGAAGCGAGTGAGATCATGAAAGCAGACTCGCTGGCAGATGGAAACTAGTGCACCTGGCTGAGGAAAAAGGAGATGCTAAGACATGATGGAGACGGTCCCAGTCTCGATGACAGAAGGCACAGTGGGACACCGTTCCCTGCAATGTGAAAGTCAGGACAAACTGCTGGCTTAGAGGGAGGAGACAGAAAGCCATGAGGCACATGATTTTAGACACAGTAAATCTGGCTGCCAGGAAGTCATGCCTGTGTAAGTGTCAGTCAACAACTGAAAACAAAGGGCAAAATCCTAGAGATAGCATGGAGCTGTGGTTATTCAGTAATAATTATTTGGCAATAATCTGCATAAGAAGAGGGCAGGCAGAAGAGACATGGTGTCAATGATAAAACTGGAACCTATTATCTAGGGAAGAAGAATAGTACCTGGTGATGGAACCAGAGAACGAGCATTTGCAGAAGAAAAGGTCTGCAGGAAATTAATGGGGAGATTTGAGAAAAACACTTCAATTTGGTGATGAGGGTTATTGTGATGTTTTAAGGAATTTATAGCTTATATAGGCTTTTTAATAACTGTGAAAAGCCCAAGAGGATCTTGAAAGCTTAGAGAAGCAGAAATAGTGGTTAAGTGATGGGCTTATTATGTTGTTAGAATATGGAAAGAGGATCATGTCTTAGGATGAGGTTCACATCTTACAGATACATTCTTCCAAAGAATCCTTTTTTCAAAGGTGGTGCGCTGACACAACTGTTACTGTGATCTGCAGAAAAAGGTTTAGCGGAAGCAGTGTAACGGCAAGACCATGAGACCCAGAGAAAGGTTCTCGAGGGTGGGAATCACTCTCCCATACACTGGCTCCCTTTCTCCAGTGACCACAGGACACCTTCCTTGGCTCCTTCTCAGTCTGGCTCTCCTCCATCTAATCCAGACACTTACAGAGAAAAAGTCTTCTTTCTACCCCATTTCCTTCCGGCAAGGTTCCCCCAGCCTTGTGTGGTCTGGTATGTGCCCTACTCCTCACGGAATCGAATCCATCGCAAGTCCCGAAGCCTCCGCATGAGCGGCCCAGAGCTCTCCTGGAGTCCCTATTCCTGGCCCTCTCTGTGGTGGCACAAGGGATACCCAACCCCTTTCACCCCAATAGGGTTCCGCTCTCACCCCATGGGGTCTCACTCCCGCTGGGCCTCACACCACCCCGACTGACCTGTATGCAGCCCTCCTTCTCTCTTAACCCTTCAACGCTGCTGTTTCCCACTCGAACTCCATCCTCTCTTCCCACTTGGGAATTTTTCTCCACACCCCAGCTTTTCCTACCACGCACAGGCCAGGGATTCCCCAGCGGCTGTGTCTGGCTCAGACTCCAAATCTGACCTCTGTGCTGGGCGCATCCCACTAGGGTGTTCAGGCCACACCTTGATTTAAGTATTTCCAAAGCCAAATTCAGCATGTTCCTACTTAAAAGATTTTTTTTCTTCTTCTGTTTCAAACTCAACCGTCAGTCCTACCATCCACCCTGGCGCCCAAGCTATCGGTCATATCCATTCCCACCCACTGCAATTTAAAGTTCCCGTCTCCTAAGATCTGCATGACTGTCCCCTACCTTGAACACTGCCACCTGCCTTTCCCTCGGATGATGGTAACATGTCCCCCTGTCTGCTCTGCCTCCCAGCCACCCCCTGATGAACAACTTCCCACAGCTGCCACAAGGCTCTAAAAAAATAGACTCGATACTCCTCTACTTAAAATGTTTAGTTGTTCACCACCCTCTATAAGTCTATAGGAACAAGTCTAAGCTTTATAATGCAAAAAGCCACAAGTGATCTGGCTTACCTCTCCTCGTGGCGACCCTGCTCTGAAATTCACGCTCCAGCGACACTGAGCTCCTTACAGCAGCTGAGGACTCTCCCCCTGGCCTTCTTCCCTCCACGCCTGGCCCAGCACAGGCCACTCTGCTTCCACCCGCTCTGATAGGAAGAACTCCCTTGCGGCATTTGCCTTCAGCTCAGTCACCATCTCCTCTCGGAAGCCTCCCTGACTCTTTCTCGCCCGCCCCCTACTACAGCCTGAAGGGGTAACAACCTGTGAACGTCTCTATCATTTCCCATAATGCAGGGGGTGGCAACCACGATTTATTGTGTTCATGACCCACAGTAGACTGTGAGCGCCCTGGAGGAAGGCGTGTGAATTCACGTTTGTTTCCTTGGAATCTAGTTCACTATCGGCGGTCGTTCCTCGGTGCACCATCAACCGTCAGAGGAATGTTGGAAAGGTTGGGAAGGGTTTCGGGGGGATAGGATAGTTGACAAGAGGTGAGTCAAGAAGGGGATGGGACTGATTGAGGAGACAAGTTGCGGTATACAGCATGACATGGTAGAGGAGCCTTTATTCTTGTTTTGTGATGTTCACCAAAAGATTCTTGAGCCAAACATGGAAAAATAGTGAGTATAACCTGGAGTAGGTGATTATTCAAGAAGGGGGAAGGATTCTGGGGTGACTAGGCCAGCTACAGAGACAGCTAAGGCCACAAAGGGCTGAGATAACTGCAGAAAAGGGTGGAGTCAACGGGAAAGATAAAGGCAAAGAGAAGGCTGGGCGCTGGGCCTGAGCGAGCTCGTGATGGCCGAAGGGAGGGTGCGTGCGTGTGAGACAGAGAGAGAGGAGACACCAAGGGAGGCACTGGCAGTGAACAGAAGTTCAAGCTGCTGGAAAAATCATCTGAGCATCATCACCTAATGAAATAAAATAAAAATCATTCTGTCACTTAATGAAAATGTTACCCTGATTAAAAATCTGTTTTGCCAGTTGGTGTAACCTTTTGGTGTTTTACAACACATTCTACAGTCAGAGAATCATACGGACTGCAGAAATAATAACAAGACTGTTTGGGGATGTAATTCTTCTATTTTTGGAAGCAGAGAACCCTCGTCCAATGCTCAGTTACATAATCTGAATTCTGTCCAGCTTTCATTTTGAAATAATTTTTCCCAAAGCATGACAAAAAGTCATTCTAGCCCCTCCTTCCTCCCAGGCAGTCTCTTCTTTGATTATTTTTGAATCCTGAGGACACTTACCGCAGATGAAGCAGGTTGTCTTCAGAATCTCTTCTTTTTTCTGTTTTTCACTTCTGAGATCAGCAAAAGTATCAATGATAACACCAAAAATCAGGTTAAGAACGATAATGATAACGATGAAATAGAAAAGGAGATCATATACCACTCGGGCAGCAAACAAGGGCTCCTGAAATAAACATTTTAAGAACATGTGTTTATACATACACATTTTCAAGGTGTGTTGATTTTGCATATATATTGTCTAGCACAGAAAATATATTCAATAATTGTTTGCTAAGTAAATATAAACAATATTCCAAGTTGTCAAAACATGACCCACTTTGTAACTTCATTTTCTTTTCTTGAAGTGTTATGAGAAAACTTCATATCTGATCCCAGAACCCCTCCCATTCTCTCCCTGCCACCCCCTCCCCTCCCATGGAGGGGCTTACCTGTTATTAAAAACCACTTTTACCATGTCATAAGTGAATTTTGGCTCAATGGGTTCTACACCAGAAGTTGCACAAAAAGTAGACAGATACCAATTCCAAAGGCCTCGAGGAGATTTTGTTCTTGGCCTTATAGGGTCGGTCAAATACGTGCAGCTCAAGGTTATTTATACTTGACAAACAGTATTAAAATACCCGCTAGAGATCATGTAATCCAGCTGTTTCACAGATGAGGAGACATTAGATGAACTGACAATCGGATGCAGCAAATTTGCCCGAGACCTGAGATGCTTCAAGCTCCCAGCCTGGCGCCTGATATTTTGCAGCTAATGAGAGGCTTTTCAGCCTCGCCATTTTAATATATGAAAATCCTATTCGAATTTGTTCAAATTTGTATATTCATCATGGATAAATAATGGGGGCTATTACTGCTCAGAGGCAAAGAGTAAATCTTCATGCCTGAGACCTGATGGACAAGAAGCAGCCTAGTTTCTGCTATTTGTATAACAATCGGATCCTCTATAAAGTTTGTAGTTAGGCTCTTGTTGCTATAATACACAGTTCAAACGGGGAAACATTTCATAACTCTCCAAACAGACGTAGATTTTTACCACATTTGCTATTTCTATGTAATCTGAGTATACGATTAATTGGTTTTATTGAGCACTGTATACTTTTAAAGCAAATGATACAATATAGTACCCTGAAAATGAAAACCATACTGTAAATGGTGTGAAGAAAGGCTAAGAAGTGATCGTGCACATCTTGAAAGTAAATGTTTTTCTCCAGCTTACATCCTTCGATGGCCTCCTCAGCACGTCCCCCACACCGCCGCCGTTCCTGAGGCCTTGGTTCAGGACAGTGACTATGCACAGAAGGAGGGTGTCACACGTCCTTTCGATTCCATCTTCATACTCTTCCTCAGCTATAAAAACACACAAACCAAACAGTGCAGCAAACTCATGTTTTGAAAATACCCGACCACTTACTTTCAGATATTTATTTCTTTATAACCGTACCATGTTACAATAGTTTGAAGTTACACAACATCTGTTTTATACGTGGTGGCACGTGAATGATGTAGACTGGGAGAGCCACACATATCAGAGCCTGATGTAATGTTTTCTTCCATCGGTGGAAAATGACAGAATGAAAAGGACAAAATACAATAAAGCTAACATTTACTGTGCCTTTTTGTGGTGTACGGAGATGGTGGTAGAACTTCTGGAAAATGCAGTCAACTCACCCAGACAACAAAAGTATTCCAGGGGAAAGCGTGTACAGGGAAGCGGGTCTGGCTTCAAATTCTACTCTGTCCCAGCAATGGGACTTGGGGTAGTTAATTAACCTCAGTAGGCTCATCTGTAAAATGCAGAGGTGTGCTTCAAGATAAACCCTTCAGAGGATTATATTTAAGATACAGAAAATACTTTGCACAGACTGGCATACACACAGTAGGTGCCTAGAAATACAGGTAGATGTTATTTCATTCATTTGGCTAAGTGTCTAAGTTTTCTTAATGACCACCAGGAGCTGCAGACAGCCAACACATTGTATTCATGTGAGCAATTTAATTCATGTGCATGTAATTATGTGAAAATATTTAGGGAGAAATGAGGAGACAGAAAAAGATACAACATGACTGAAAAATTCCTAGTCTTATCCTTGATAAAATTTCAAGATAAAATTTCAAGATAAAATTTCCAAACTTGGTAACAACTTCCCAGTCATGCAAAACACTGAAAAATTAGATATTAGATATTTTAGAATCAGGATTTTCCAATATTGATAAATGAACGGAAAAAATATTTTTCTTGTTGCAAGATTAAAGAACTACAGTGGTGTTGAATTTTCAGACTGTGTAGCCACAGTCTGGGTGTCAAGGCAAGAGTATAAAAATATCACCAAAAGGGGGAAAGAAAGAATCAGTCTAATTTTGTCTACAGGATCCATGACCCACAGCCTGTTTGGTACTTTGGTATGAAAGCGCTGCTTTTCCTCTTGTGAACTGACTTTATTTTAACATCACATGGATGAGGTGGTCCCGATATTTTCACTTTATTCAGGGCTGTTTTATATTTTTGAAACCCACACCTGGAGAGGAGGGCTGAAGTCAGAGATGGGCTAGCACCATATGCAACATCAAAGATATGGCAGTCTGGGCTGGACCACTTACCTTGGAGGTGAGCCTCAAAGCACATTCTGACTTAGAAAGCAGAGAAATAAAACTGCATTTGGAGGTAGGAGAAAAGGGAAAGAGGTAAGGCTTACAGAGGCAGTACTCAGAGCAGCAGAGGAGATGAAGAAAGCCCAGTCTGCAACGTGCTAGTGAGGTCCTCCACCCTGGGTGGAGGGTTTTGACCTGATGGCTAGGAAGAACGGGAAGAAAAATAGTGAAAAATGTGTAAGAGAGCTAAAGGCATTTTTAAAGAGAAATATGGTTTTCCAGTAACAAGGTCGTATGGAATATGTCTACATGTCACTTTGCTACAGTGAGAATTTCCATCAAAGCAATCTTATATCCAGTGCCAGCACCTGCATTCATTTATTCAACCACTAACTACCTGGTCGTGTCACACACATGTCTACTAAAGATGTATTAAGTGTCAGATTATATACAAGCTACAGGAAAGTGCTCCAATGTATCCCCAAGAACGCAGAAATGAAGTTGTTTGTTCTTTAACAGGCGAGCTAGTAAAATCCATTAGCCGTTGTGAAATAAAATAGATTGGGTGTAAATATATAAGGAGAGAATTTACTTTCTGTGTGGCATGTCAACTGGAGGACAATGCCCAGGTGGGGTCCACACCAGCCACAGCCCAGTCAACCTGCGCCACAGTAGTCCGTGCATAGGCACGCTGGTTTATATAGTAGCCCCTGTGAGCTTGGTCAGTGAGGGTCTAGCTTTCTGAGACGGACCCACCTGCAGTATGTTAGGTCAAGTTCCCAGGCCTGCAGGCTGAAAGCCAGGCCCCAAGTCATAGTAAATTCACCTAAGTAAATGCCATGTCGTGGAGACCTACCTACACACAGCTGGCCATCCTAGGCCAATCCTGCCTCTTTTCACTACACCAACAGACCTTGAGCTAGGCACTAGGAATACAGGTGGGAAGAGCAAAGCGTCCCAGCCCCTGGAAATGCGGGTTGGCGGAGGAACACAGCAGTGCAGAATCACGGGGAACTTGTACAGGTAGGATGGATGTGCGTCTCACAGGCTGGGAGCCAGTAAGAGCACCCAGAGGGCAGGGGCACCCGAGCTGCCCTGAAAGAGAGGCACACTTGGTTAGGAAAAGCAGTGAAGTAAGACATTCCCAGCCAGTAAAATTGGATGATCAGAGGCAAACAGGCATGGAAGCCTAGGGGTGTTCGGGAAGGGTGGGTACATTGGAAGGAGTGGACCTTTGGTGTATGTAGACGAGTATGAGAAGAGAAAACGGCAGGGACCCGATATGGAGAGACTCATACATTAAGCTGCAGAGTTTAAACTTATCTCAAAAGCTATGGGTGCCAGTGGAGAACTGTTCAACAGGGGCAAGGTGGTAAAGCATCTAGCTGGTGGAAATACTATAAGATAGAACATTTATTTAAATAACAAGACAAATTAATATATGATAAAAGGCAGAGAAGTGGTGCAAAGAGATCCAACTAGAGAGAGAAACTCTAATATTAGGGACCATGAGTGGGGAGTCCCTCTAATTAACATAGACTCTGAGCATCCCTTGAATATTTAATGGACTAAGACAGCAGACGAGAGGTATTTTACACAGCATGCGCAGCGAGGCCCAGAGGTAGAAAAACATTCCCTTCTATGGTGAGGGGCAAATAAGCCAGTCTGTAGGGGAGTGGAAGGCAAAGCTGGGAGATAAACTGGGAGTTCTCCAGTAACTCTGGCGAGTCCTGATTTTATTTGGCAGGCAATGAAGCATCATGGAATCTTGGACTGGGTTTAGGGGTCAAGTTTCTGAAGCGGTGATTCCTGACAAGGAGTCTAGTGGTGACATAGTGGGTGAACTGAAGGGAAGAGAATGACTGGAGGTAGAAAGACCACTTGGGAAGCAGTTGCAATAATCCAGCCATGATGTGCTACGAGCCTCAGCCACGGTAATGGCAGTGAGAGCAAAAAGGACACATGAACAGTTGCTGAGCCGACTCAGGGCACCAGGCATCAGACATCACACTGACGCTTCCAGCCAGAGGTGACGTGGGAAAGGATGGTCCCATTAGACCAAAGAAATAGACAATGTAGAAGGAAGAACTGGAGGTAGGGTGTTTTGATGAAGACAAGGAAAGAATCCCAGATGATTTTTATGTTTGCAGGATAAGAAGCTAGAGGGAAATCTCAATCACAACGTAAATCAGTCACAGGGATGAAAGGAAAGCATAGATAATAGAGTCAATAATCTGCAACATCATCCTGTTAACAGACAGTCACCACACCAGTTGGCGTGAGGATTTAATAATGTAGATAACCACCAAATCACTATGTTGAATACTCGAAACCCATATAATATTGTACATCCACTGTACTTCAATAAAAAAGTACAATGAAATTTTCAAAGTCTATAATGCACGTATTTGGTTCACAAAATTTTAGAACATCTTTAAAAAAAAGAAAAAGATAAACCAAGAGGGGACAAGAGGGCTGGGAGAGTACAGCGATCCAAAATCAAGGAAGAAAATAACTTAAGAGATGGAGAAATTATTCAAAGGCATCAAAATTATGGAGGGGTCAAAGGCAATGAGAAAGAAGAAAGGGCTGCCGGACTTACCAATCGGGCCACCAGGAAACACTAGGAAGATGACCAACAGTGAAAGAGACGGTTGACGCGGAAATTGAAGGAGAGAGTGCAGGCCAATTGTTTTATAGGAAAATTTGGTGCTTCAAGGGAAGGAGAGTGATAGCATATTAATTTGGGGGGATAACAGAATGAAAAGGAAGGTTCAGTTAGGACCTAAGAGTGTAGGAAGAAGGGAAATAGATGGTGGCAAGGAAAAGATTTCAGAGGCAAGAACAATGGTCTCGCTAATGATGGTGCAAAGGCGTCACAATGAAAACAGAGGCAGTTATAAAACCAGAGAGAGAGCGTGGTTGTGCTCATGCTAAAGGAAAGAATTAGTGGAAATAGACTTTCATGTGGACATGTTTAAAAAAATCTAAATATATACAAGTAAGGAACTTGGAACATCAGTTGGTACGCAGGGCACGTCATAGTCTAAATACTGTATCATTATTACTGACAGATAGCTATAAAATGTTATGCAAAGTTACAGTTGTAACATAACCAAGAAACTCTATACTTGGACAATATCAGGTTAAGTTATCCTCATTATCAGTTAAGTATTAGGAAAATAGTTTTTTCTTAATTCATAATAGAAACAAAATGTTTAATATGAGGAAAAGAATAAAAATACATTCTCTTGGCGCTGAAATATTTTCCCTTGATCTGAAATGTTAGTCTTCTGGGTTTTTTTTTTAACACTGGACATGCTTGAATAGGAGTATTAATAAAGCTAATATTTTTTCTGGTTCAATCATTAAATTATTCATTTTTTTATGGTTTCTTCAAAGCATTAGATTGTCACTGAGATATATATGAAAGCCTGCGTGCAAATGAAAACCTCTTGTGTGTCTTAAATTTTAATTGCAATCAATTCATTATGAAAATTCTGATTTAAAAAAATTTTACTAGGAAAAGAGCCTTAAAATACTGGGCATCCAGTGAGAAACTAGTATGGTACAATCAGCTTCTGCTATTCATCACTATTTTTTTATTAAAGCAAAACACCAAAACATATTAAATTTGAATTACTCATAAATGTTAGACATCTGTGAACTTCCCCTTTTCCATACATTCAAGTGAATTTTATTTAGAAAATTGGGACTATTTTGTAAATTGTCTCAAAAAGGCCTTACTTTTGAGAAAA